TTTTTCCTGCTTATGTTTTTAGTTATTATTGATAACCACAGATGTTTCCAAGACCAATTCAGTAAGTAAAGCTTTCTTACTGTAACAATCCAGAACAATCATGGTACAATATATCCTTCCTGTATACTATGGGAAATATATTTTGCACTAATGACAAGGAAGAGAAGCAAATGCAGGCAAAAATCTATTTTTTTTCCTCAAGTAAGAACTAATATATTTAACACATTATGATAACTGAAAATGTCGGGGGGGGGGGGAGGGGGGAACAACAAAAAAAAAAACATTTATAATCCAGGAAAATGGCTTTAAAAAGACTCCAAACTGATACATCTATTTCTTTATCATGGTTTGTATTTGATTCCTATTAAATTTATGTAAAGTGGGAGAGGAGGTCATACGCCTAAATGATGATTTTGTATTATACGCCTTCCAGAGTTTCACAAGCTTCATGACTTTTTTTTTTATTAGAATTGTGAAAAGATACCTAAATCCATTTGATGTTCTTTTTTATAAATTTTCTTCATAAATTGAAAGCTTACAAATTCCTCCCACCTCCTTCTTTGGGACTTTTGGTCTTTGAGCAAGATCTTGCTTTCACTGTCAGAGATCTGATGGAAGCCAAACTCTCATTAAAAGTTGGAAAAATTCTGTGAATTAGTGAAATATCATTTTTATAAGAGGCAAAGGAGGATCTTGCACATTTTTCAGTACTAGAGGGGTGTGGCTGGGACAGAAGTCAAATGTGCTTAGAAAAAGGGTGATTAGTTTAAAGTAAGGGAAGAAGAGAAAAAAGAAGTCTTTGTTATTAAAAAAGATAAATAGTATATAGAAGAATTAAACTGGACAGGTGGAATAACTTCCCAATAAAAAGTGCAGAAAACTGTAATTGCTATTCTAGGACTTTAGAAAAGTTAGAGAAACATGACAAAAAGTAATGAATCTGTCTGGGTGGGAAATTCTTAATTTCCCTTCCAACATTATGATTTATGATGTTTATAATCATAAAATTACATTTATCTTACAAGCTTTACTATGTCTCATTCATTCAGCCTATGGTATTTGTGACTTTTTGACTTCTTCCAACAAACATCTCGAACTTCCCAGATATTCCAATGAGCTGTTACATGTTTAGAAGTTCATAATTCACAACATTTCCTTCCCTTGTTCATCTATGATAACATATTTATCTGTTTGAGCCAACCCCTTTCTGTCTTAGGACCTACCACATACTTAGTTGTGCTTACATTCCACACAAGCATGTCTTCCCTTCACTCATACTGTTGAAAATCACTTGCATCAAAAATAAAATCCAATGTAACTGTAAAATGGAAGCCACAGAATTTGCTTTACTCTAAATAGGTTTTTTCATCCATCCATCTGGGGGTCCCTGGACAAATCTCTGGACTAATCCTAAGGGGTCTGTGAAAGACAATAAAAGCAAACAAGCCTATCTTTTGACAGTACACCTGAACTCGCTCTTAAGAGCTCTACAAGGAATGCTGCAGGGGACTTGCAAATTGAAGGTGTTTGCTCTAGGGTAATGCACCTGTAATTTTAAATTTCTTATGTGAATACTTCAGCGTGACTTTTACATTTTAAAACCTGACAGCATCTCATAACTCAGCAGGAGGAAGCCAATTATGAGACACCATTAGGGAAATGGATGAGAAATGTTATCTTGCAACCTGGATCATGACTGGATGAAGGCCTCATTTCACACCAGAAGTTCTGGTTTATGTCAGAAGATGGTTGGAAAATCCTTTTTTAATGGTCCAAGACATTAATTCTCAGCCTGAATCATATCAGAATTGTAGCATTTTAAAACAATACTTTTATGACAAACTGAATTTCAAAAAAGGGAGGCAACATTTGTGTAGGTGTTTATAGCAGATATATATGAACCTATAAAGTGATTCATGTGGTGAAGTATATCTCATGTAACTATCCCTGCTGATAGCCAGGAACCCAGCCCCAGCAAGTTTTCTTGACTTTTTTGTGTCACAAAGGGAAAATCGCAGCAGTAGGGTGAGGATGGCTCACCCTCAGGAAGTACTTTGATGCCCACCCCAGGGTGACCCAGATGGCTGGTTTCCTTGGCTTGGCCAGATGAGATGCTTGATTTTCAAGTAGCTGAAGGTAGCTGAGGTGGAGGCCTCCCATGGCCCCAAGAAAATATGACTCTACAGACAAAGAAATGCCTGAAACAGCCCCATGAAACAACCTGTGTATCACTATTTTTTATGGGTATAGATATCTATTTCTAGAGGTTTTCAGTCCCATTCATGGAAAACAAGAGCCTAAATCATTTTCTGAAACGTCTGTGTACTGGGCTCATTGAAACTTTCAAGAACACACAATGCAACAAGATCTTTACTTTTGCTGAGCTAAGCATTAGTAAGTTATATGTTCTGGAGCGATGGAGTGATTTAATCTTTAAGAACTTAAATTGGAGGGTGAACTGTAAAGTTTCCACGTAGTTTTTGAAGGCATAACTAACCACCATAACAGTTCTTTAGGAAAAAACATTCTTTCTTTGAAATGTATTCTTAAAATATGCTGCCATCTCCGAGTCACAATTAAGAATTTTTAAGTACGCCAATTAGAATGTGCTTTGTTCTTAAGAGATTTTGATTGCACTTCTGAGCAAACTGATGTGGGAATCAAGTTGATTCTCAGAAGAGGCTCAAAATGCTTTTAATATAATTCTTCAGATGTTTGAAAGCATAATCTAAATGGAGCTGTGTTTTCACATGAGGTTTTGTTCCTTAATGTGTGGTGTATTAAGCAATATTGCTCAAAGCAATAGTCCAGAGTTTTAAGATGCACTGAGTACTTTGTTTAGCAGGTGGTAGCAAAAACACACCCAAACCACCACCAACAACAAAAAATATAAATTCTTTCTACAGAACAAACATCACCATAAAACATAGTTTTACTTTTCAGATAACAGCTTTTAACTGCTGGTATTTTTGCTTTAAATTGCAGATGAGCTTAGGCTTATGTGAATGTAGAGGTATTGTAAGGGTGGAAAAAATGAAAGGGCTGATATGATTTAAGCTTTTGCTTTAAGGATGGAGACAGGATCAAGATGGGGAGAAAGACGGGGGATCAAGATGGGCAGGAAGGTCTCAGCCCATCAGGCTGCCAGAGAGACTGGGAGTGCAGCAGGCATTATGATAGCTCTCTCCAGAGAGCACCAGTCTGAAAGGTGGCTCTAGAGTTGGCAGGTAGTAGGACCACCAGTTTGCCACTGACCAGGACTTCAAGGAACTCTGTGGATTATTTTTTTTCCCTCAAAGCATGAGGTATTTCCTAGGACTCTGCATTATGGGACAAAATGCATGCAGCTTATGTACAAGGTGTAAGGAACATGGAAAAGATGTTAATAATGTCTACTGCATTGTATTCAAGTAGTAGGGTTATTTCTGAGGACACGGTTCTTTCCTTCTAGCACTTGTGAATAAAATTCACCACAGTGAACAGAATACCTGAAAGTGGGTACAGAATTATAGTACAATATAAAAGTCATGAGTCCCATAAAGATGTAAGAAATTTTACACTGACATAAAGTCCTTACAAGGCTATTCCCTTGTCCCACACTTTCTCCTTCGAAGTACAAAGGGTTTCACACTAGTAAAAAACACACACAAGCCTATGCCCTTTACAGAATCTGTCTGAAAAACCCTATCTGTAGGCTAATTCTTACCAACAGTGAGTAACTTCACTTGTCCTAGCAGTCTCACTGACTCCTTGCTCTCATCGCTGTCTGCCTCCTCATCCTATGCATCTCCTCAGCCCTATGGCCCACATTGCTGCAGGAGAGTGATACCATATCAAAATGCAAAATGTTGGTCTCCACCTTGTTTACATCCATTCTTATTCAATCTCTTCAGAAAGTTTTTATAATTAATATCAAAAACAAAAAGAAAAGTATATTATCAAGCATTTTATATGTATTTCTTCACTATACCCAGGTTTCTAACTTAACGCAATATACCTGAAAACGTAACACCTTATCCTCTGTAGGAGATCCAGAGGATTCTCCCCATTAAAAGTGTAACTGGCAATTAGGCTGCAGTGGAGTCCTGAAGGATTACAGAAGTAATTTTATTATCTCATGAAAATATTCAGTTGATACTTGCCTAATTTTATTTTTTTTAATTAAATTGTCATTGAAGATTACAAATGAATCTGAATATATTAGTTTGGTCCTAAATGGAGGAAACAGAGAAGATAGGCAATACTAACTGTCTTGTGTTGAGGATAAGTTTCTGAAATAAAACAGCCAGTACTGTGTCCCAGAGTGATTATAAAAAAAAAAAAAAAAAAAAAAAAAAAGAGAGACAGCAAAACAAATAGAAGAATGCTACAGCCAAAACATCTGCTCCTATTCAGAACTATGTTGTGCTAGTTTCAGCACAAAAATCTGTTAAAACAAGAGAAGAGGAGCCTATCTCATACTCTCAGTATGGGGAAATGGAACCCCAAACTCTCTGCAGGGTCTTAAGAGAAATCTCTTAGAATCCTTTTTCTTCTTTTCATATATTTTGCAATATCCGTTTTGCATAAATTGATTAGCATATATAACTTGAAATTATTTAATGCATTTGAAATAAATATTAGAACTACATACAAGCATGTTTTTAAATTAATCATGTAATTTAGTTAATGAATATCTGATATCATGGTAATATGAGCATTAAAAGAGCCTTAAGAGATATTATCCCACCTGTGGCAAAAACACATCCGTGTGGATATGTAATTACACTTTATTGAAGTAGCATATTTTTTCCTGCTCTGAAGAAATATACTCCGGTTCTACCCTAAATATGTTGTTTCAGTTAAAAATACACTGAGTTTACATTTGTGTTTGTCACAAATCGTGAGTTAATGTTTCAGTTCTCTCATCAACTTTCAGATGATCTTTGCAAGGAATATAAACTTTGGGGGTTTTCTTCTGATACCACACTGTCTACATGTAATTAAAGATGTAATTTTACCTCATTATTCTGGAACTTGGGTTTTTGGAAACAGCTTCCCAGTTTTTATCCTTTTCCAGCTTATTCTCATAGGATTATAATCCATAGGTTTTCCATAACTCTAATCAACAAACAGCAACAATTAAAACAAAATAAAAAAAATAAAAAAAAAAAAAAAAAAAACAACACATTAAAATCTGCACAATTAAGCTAGCTACTTACATGCAAATATGAACAGCACCCCATCACCTCACAATAGAAACAAGATCAGTGCCTCTGTTCATCTCCTTTCACTGCTTACTTGAGTAGGCTTTCAGTTAATGTATAGTTTTGTGTGAGGTGACCGATTTGTCCCTGTTAAGGTTTCTGTGGGTGAGTGACCATGTGGGGAGATGATGCGGTATATGGAGAATTTATTATAGCACTGAAGGAAAGATCAGCTGAAAGAAATGTGTCTTGTGCTAAGTTCTGCTAATGGCAAAAGACAGGACTATATTTTAAATCTTGTGAGTTCTTCCACTGTGTGCCAGCTTCTGGGAATTATATCTCCTCAGTCTTGAATTTTCTTCCAGTGGCTCAGTTTCAGCATTGTGGTGGGACATCGTGGGGCCAGAAGTAATCTGAGGGGCAGGTTGTGCAGGGAAATGTGTGCTATCAGGGTTGGGGCCTGTTCCGGGTGAGAGGCCAGCTGTGCCAGACAGCCACCAGCAAGGCCTCCAACCAGGGAGGTTTTAGACCAAGCTAATGAATGGCAGCGGCTAAAGTTATTGCAGTGACCTTTTGGAGATGGTAATGGCCAAACGAGGGTTATATCTTGTTGACAGAACCATTTTGGGTCCGGAAGCAGTGAAGGGCCAGCCTAATTCAGACATGCAGGTATAATGCCTCCTGTTTGGACAAAGAGCACACCACCAGCTGCCACCCCCAGTAAGATTTACAGCATCTGCTCTACGGATTGTGGTGGTTTTACCATGCTAGGCAGCTAAACACCACAACCACTCTCTCACTCTCCCTCCTTAGATGAGGAGGGAAAGAAGAAAAGTAAAGAACAACTCACAGGTTGAGATAAGGATAATTTAATTAAAGGGGAAAAAATATTAAGCAAAGATTATTATTAACTAAACAACTTAAATAAAGGGGGAAAAAAAAGGAAAGGGGAAAAAGGAGGGGGGGGAGGGGAATAAATAAATAAATAAAGGCTATGTAGAAGAGCAGAGGAAAGAAATTACTCTCTACTTCCCACAAATGAGTGATGCTTGACCACATCCTTGAAGCAGGGCCTCAACGCACGTAGCCAGTGTTCGGGAGGAGGACTGACATTTTCACAACAAGAGCCCACCCCTCCCCTCTTCTTCCTTTTTCCACCTTTTATTGCTGAGTGTGACATCATATGGTATGGAATATCCTTTTGGTTGGTTTAGGTCAGCTGCCCTGGTGATGTTTCTCTTCTCACTTTTTGCCCACCCCCTAGGAGGGTTAGAGAGAGGTCTGATGCTGTGCCAGCCCTGCTCAGCAGCAGACACAACACTGGTGTGATACAACTGCTGTTCTAGCTACAAGTGCAGAGCACAGCATTATATGGGCTGCTGCAGGGAAAACATCCCAGCCAGACCCAGTACACAGATGTGTCCAGCCCAACCTGCAGTGAGGCAGAGTAGTCTCACAGACAGTGATGGAAGACAAAGCACCCATAAACACCTTCAAGAGCCCCAAACCCTTCCCAATGGAATAATGCATCCTCCCACACAATGAGAAACTATTTCATTTTATATTCTATAAATAGGTACAACTGAGCTGATTTGTCGATGTGAATATTTTAACTTTGCTCTAAGAGAAGGAAGTAAAAGGCCATTTGTTGCCCTTTATTATCAGCCATTTCAAAAGTACTGATCTTTACATGCATGAGCAGTTGCACTACAATTCTCCTTGCAGTCTGCAGATATAAGGGACACAGTGATCCATACCCATGTGCTGGATCAGCCTCATATTTAGTGCTTGCAGAGCTATGGGGCCTCAAAATCCTACTGATAAGGGTGATTTACTAAAAATGTGTAGACCTTTTATTTGCTTCACTGTTTCATAGCACTGACAGAAGGGCTGTCCTGAAAATTAAACTCAGTGGAACTATTTGCCTGAGCAAGGACTAGCTGTATGACCCATATTTCTTAGGACCAGAATGTGATTTTCTGCATCACAGTATTTAATGAAACTGTTTAACTGATTGTGAAGTGTGAATAGAGATAATAGACCTGTTCACATACTCACGCTAAAGTTCAGTTTCAATCCAAAGTTGACTCAAAACAGAGCCTGTCAGACAGTCTGTTCTCAAGCGATTTCCAGTAAAATCTCTGAATATTTCCAGTGGTTCTTGATCCTGTCCAGGAAATCCTGCAAGGACTGCTTCTCATGAGACTGAAGTGTCTCTTACATATACACAGTTCTTTTCGTTGCACTTGCCAAAATGCTGAACTACAGCTTTGTCAGAATTCTTACACTGTGAAAGAAAAGAGGAAATCTGAATGACTTTGAAAATGAACATGTGTTCTCTGGGACCTGCTAATTTGTCTGTAACATAGAATATTGTGAATTTCATTTTTTCATTGTTAATAATCAGATATATTTATGAATTCATTTCATCTTGTGAAAAATGTATTTCTTATTAAAAAGTACACCCTGAATAATTTAAGTGATCAAAGTCACACCACAGGATTAGAAAAAAACTTTTGACTTCAGTTTGGTTCATACAAGCTATGCAGTTCTGGTGAAGTTTGTTGTACCTTGAAGCATTTGAAAACAATGATTAAGAGGCAGATGTACCCATGTTTAAATTATTTCTGTGCTAAACTCTACTGATACTTTAGATAAAAGAGCTTTTTTTTTTTTTTTTGGTATTAGTAAAAATAACTACAATATGAAGTGACCTGAAATTTACAAAACAGTGAATCAATGTGTATGGCAAAAAAAAATCCACAATAATTTAATCAGCTCCAGTCATCTCTAGTTTCTTGAATGAGAAATACATTGTGGTCTCAGGCATGAATAAGGATTAGGGGAATTCTCATTTGATGTATATTGTTTCAGCCTTTCCTGATGAAAAAACTTATTTTCAGTACAATTAATATTTTTTTCTTTTTAGGATTTTAATAGTCAATAACAATATACAACGTAAAGTATCTCTCTGAAAGAATGCTGTGGCACATTTTAATCCTGTAGTTCAACAGCAGTATAGCACACATGTTCAGGCAACAGCAACACATTAATAAATCCCATTAATTCCTTTCCCCCTGAGGTCTTTGCTGACTGTTTGACTGACAAAGTTCTTCTTTTATTAGTTATGACAGACCAGGCTTTGCATTTCATTTCTCTAGGGAGATGTCACACTGTTATTTTAAGGTGAATTGCTCAGTTCAAGTAACAAAACTGCCTCAAGGTCTCAAGACAGTTAACATGGCAGCTTTTTTAGTCAAACAGTTTCACACTTTCTCTGACAGCAGGACTATATTGATTATGAAGGAAGCAAAAGAAAATGGGTGGGACAGACAAGGATTCTCCCAGGGTTTCAGTCCGAAAGGCCTGGAATAAAGCTGGGAGCGTGCTGCTTGCCTGGACTCCAAAACCACACACTTCAGAAAAGTGAATCACTTTTTTCTTTCTCTTTCCCTTTTAACTTGTTTATTTTTTCTTGTTTTTACCACCATTTCTTTGCTCATGCACAGACATCCAGATTCTACAGTCCAACATGCCTGGGCAGTCCTCAAAGCTTGTGATGTTACTGCCCTGGCTTTTCTTCCCCTTTTGTTTTACATGTACACCTACAGGCTCACTCAGAGCTAAACCAGAATATGGAGTTGGAGAATAAAAAAAAAAAAAAACAACCTTGTGTGATTCCGGTTTTCTGAAACTCCAGATGAAGAAGTATAGATTGTGCTTGAAATCTGGAAAATGGTGATTACCAAAAGCTGCTGTTGGACAGCTTGTTTGTTCTTGCTAAGGAGAAAGAGATGGAAGTAAGATTGCCTTAGACATATAGAGTATATGTATAATGGCATAGCTCCCTTACATTTTGTGTCCTGCACTTAACTTTCCATCTGCTGTTGGTTTATCTTTGCAGAATGAGCAAGGATGCCATTGAGATCCCCACAATGACAACCACAATTCATACAGTGAAATTGGAAGGCAGTGAAATGCATGAGTAACTCAAATTGCTGCTACTATTGTACGTGACAATGGGCATACAACAACAGTTTATCAAAGCTGGAAACTTGTTCTTTTCCTTTTTTTTTTTTTTGACTTTTCTTTTTTTAAAGACCTAATGAACTTCCACTCCTCTCTAGCACTGAATATTTTGAAGCAATTTTGTGTTCTAGGAAACTTTCAGTATTCCTCTCTTCATCTTCACTATTGCTTTACTTTGCCCATGTAATAATTAATGTAATAGATTCACAGTATATTTATTCACAATTTATATTCATTAATATATTAACCTACTGATCCTCTAGAACACCTTGACACAGTGTGTTATAGCTTTCCACAATTTAAAAGTGGACTATGCACATGTCCTTTCATAGTTCTGACAATTTCAAGGCATTGAAGGTACACTCTGCACCATGGGATCACTTCATACAGTCTTTTGATGAACTTTGTCATTGGCTTTTTTAAGTCTTTGTAATTTACATAAATCTTTCTCCCTCTAGCATCCATTATTTTCATATGCTGAAAACACTGCGGTAGATTAGAGATGGATGATTTTCTTTTAAAGAAATAGTGCTCTTTTATCTCTGAAGTACCGTAAATCTCTAGAAGTTCAGTCATTCTGTTTTTAAAGATCAATTTTATTGCTGAGATAAGCCTTAGCACTCTGCAGTTCTCAGGAGCAACAGCTCTGATTTTTCAAAACACAGATATAATGCTTTCTAATACCTTGCTTTTGAGGAGGTGAGGTGATTTCAATACTGATCATTCAATACACATTATTCCAATTTCAATAGAGATACACACCATAAAAAGCAGTGTTGTAGTTTATTTATGGGACAGTAGGAATGAGGGTGACAATCACTGAGAAGAGTGATTTGAAATCATTGGCAGGAGCATGACACTGCTCTATCTCACTGGCAATCACAGTAGATTCATTCCATTCCACTGAGCTCCTCATGGCTCATCTGTGCCTGAGTTATTTCAGAAGTTCACTAAAATGTTAATTATGTTTTTTAATAGCTCTAGCTGCCTCCTGTATCATAAAGGTCTTTCAAAATGATAGTTAACAGTCACATCTTCTTATAGAAATACTGTCCAAGCCAGAAATAATAAAAAAGCTGCCCAAGCCCTGTGAATCCTCAAAGTTACTCGCTTTTCTTCAAAAAATACTTCTAAATATGAAAATCCACTATTGGAAAGTTATTGGCAAAACCACAACAAATCAAGCTAGAGTTGAATTTAACTGGTATCTGTCCTGTGCTGACATGCTCCCCATTTCTCTCTACTCTCAGACATGCTTTCAGCAGTGTCACAAGGCTCGCACAGAAACATCTGTTTTGTTCTGCCCTATGCATAAAAAAAAGTTCCCTCAGAAGCACGTAAAGTGTAAAGGTGTAAGGTAGTCTCCAGACAAGTGGGCCAGAAGTAGGTAGTAAGGGTGTTTTCCTCTGATACCCTGTCCAGCTCAGTGTTTTCTAGCTCCCCTTGCTTGCAATTGGGATTACCAGAATCCAGGACTCACCTATCAATCTATAAATAAGGGTTGCAAGAGGCAGGAGCTATGGGCTCTGTGTTGTCTTCCTCAAGCACTAGTGCAGCACAGCCACAGCACCTATTGCATCCCAAATCCTCTCAGGCAATAATAGTAGCGGTCCCACACTACTGTGCACCAGCAGCATGCTCTGGTACACATGGGGACACTAAAAGCTCTGGTCCTCTGAGCTATGTCCCTCTGACTAGTCCCACACAATGGAAAAATTTTAATGTCATCACTATGCTCAGTGCCATTGGGAGTACCTCGTCTTCACTTAGACTGATATTTTATGACAAATTTCTCGTGGGTCTTGCCCTATTTGAAATAAGGGGAGACCTGAAGAAATTAATAGAGGGCAAAGAATTAGCCATCGGGAATGTAGTAGTAATGTGCTGCATCAGGGCTTGTCTTAGAGCTCAGATTGTGGTACGTCTGAGAGCAGAAAAATCCCATTCTTGCATGACCGAGGAGAATGTAATCAGCAGCAGCACTGGAAAAAATCTTGCTTAATTACATATTTACACAATAGAGAGAAATGGCATTGGAGTTGTTCCAGGCTTTTGGTTACATAATACATGTTTAACAAAACTGTCTAATTATAACTGCACGTATTTACTCAAGAGATAGAAAAGGCTTCAAAGGAGATTTTCCAACCTCCAGGAAAGTCTTTTTTCCAAAACAAGCTTAATCATTTACTATTACCCAGCAATCTATGACCTTAGAGTTTATAAATATACAAACTAAACATTATTTAATATTTAATATTATATAACACAGTTCTTCAAGTCTCTTAAATATCTGGTTTTAACTAATAATATCTCAGAATTCAAGATTGAGGATGACACTCCTCCTGGAAAAGACAAAAATAAACTGCAGAAACAAACACCAGTGCCTGAAAAGTTTCCTTTCTCAAAGGGCAACTTTGCAGAAGGCAGACTGACCTGGAGCATCAAAACACCCACATGTGTTAACTTAGGGAGATGTGATGGCTTTTCAGCCAGCAAAAGTTATTGGAAGAAGGTCCTGTTTAAAACAACAACAACAACAACAACAACAATAATAATAATAATAATAAACACATAAGCTGCTAACATTCTAACATAGGGCAGAGATGAATGGGAAGGATACATCCTGAAGATGAAAACAAACAAACAAACAACCAAAAAAAAAAAACAGCAGAAAACTCTGGTATGTTGTGAACAGCTGCAGTGCACGAGGACCTCACTCACCCCTTCTCCTTTTGACATCCCCGGGTCTCAGCCAGCAGCACCCAGCACCCGGGGTTACAGCATTCTTGGAAAGCTGAACCCCAGCTTGAAGGATGGGACACCCCCATCCCAGGCAGTGGGTGCCCGTGGGGTAAGGCAAGGCCTGTCTCACCCTCAGGGGCATCAGGAGGCATGAGGACCCAAGGGGCACCAGGAACCATGCCTTTTGGCCATCTTACCTGCCTGGTTCCCATGGTAAAATTTAAAATGAACAACTAATCTCCCAAAATGTCTCATTCCATCAAACTAGTATTTTCCGATGTGAGAGTTGCTTTGTCAATGGTTCCTCTTTTTTCTAACCATCTCTAACTCTGAGCTGAATTTAATGAGGTTCTGTAGCAACATCACATCCCTGGCACATCAAGCACCAAGAGAAAGCTGCTCCACTGACTCAACAGATGCAATGCAAAATATCTCATCACAGCAGGGCTGTAGAAGGAGCCCAGGGAACAAGGGACTCTGCTGTTTGTACGTTCTGTCATGACAAACCCCTGGCCG